CACCTCTGAAACTGTGCTGTGGGATCTGGCACCAAGACGTTAGCAGCAGATCCTTTAAGTCCTGTAAGTTGCAAGTTTGGGCCTCCATGGATCAAACTTTTTTGTCTAGCACATCCCACATATCTGAAATCTGGGGCATTTGGAGAACTCTTTGTGATGTTCCTCAAACATCCACCTGAATGCCAGGACCCAAGGGTTTCTCAGCAGAACATTGCCCAGAGCATCACACTGCCTCCACCAGTTTGCCTTCTTCCCATCCTGGTGCCATCTCTTCCCCAGGTACGTGACATACACGCATTATGTACACGTGATGTAAAAGACAACATGATCCATCAGACCAGGCCACCTTCTTCTATTGCTCCATGGAACAGTTCTGATATTCCTGTTCACAATGTCGGCACTTTTGGCAGTAAACAGAGGTCATCATGGCCTATCTGACCGGTCTGTGGCTATGCAGCCCCATACGCGACAAGCCGCAATGCACTGTGTGTTCTCACACTTTTCTATTATAGCCAGCATTAACTTTTTCAGCAGTTTGTGCTACAGTAGCTCTTCTGTAGGATTGGACCAAACTGGCTAGACTTCACTCCCCACATGCATCAATGAGCATCATGCCCCTATTGCTGGTTCACCGGTTGCCCTTCCTTGGACCACTTTTGGTAGGTACTAACTACTGCATACTGGGAACTCCCTACAAGACCTGCTGTTTTGGAGATGCTCTGACCCAGTTGTTTAGCCATCATAATTTGGAGGTTCTGGAGAGATTCTGTATGAAGTAATGGTATCAAAGTCTCTCAGGTCCTTGTGCTTGCCCACTTTTCTGTTTCTAACACATCAACTTTGAGAACTGACCGTTCACTTGCTGCCTAATACAATATATTCCACCCCGTGGCAGGTGCCATTGTAATGTGATAATCAATGTTATTTACTTCACCTGTCAGTGGTTTTAATGTTATGGCTGATCAGTGTATACATCTTGTGAGTACTTGTCTGCTGGGAAAATGCTACTTTAAAGAATTTCCCTAGAGTGTTGCAATGTTGTCCTCAAGTGAGTAAACCCTGGGTTTGATGAAAGAGCTAGTTTTGTGGTAAGGTGCGGCATGCTGTATAGGAATGATGTATGGTCCTGCGGCTGGATGATGTGTTTGTTTGTTCAGCGCACACGTGAGAAGAATCTCGCTGCGCTGAGACGCTATTAGGACCCAAGCTCACAGTCTTATCTCATCTGATAAGACACACACTGAGCAAGAGATTGCTTCCTCTCAAATGCAGTGCAGACAGAGGATAGTGGAGTGGAGTGTCCTAGAAGATAGGACAGGTGAAGGAGAAAGGCAGCTCTAAGATGGGGTGAATCTCTTTATGATGAACTGTATGGTGAAATGCTTGATACAATCCCTTAGGCTGTTGACTGTCCATCCCGGGTGTCGATTTTTACACCTTATAGTGCGGACTGGCATAAAGGAAAGTGTGTGTTCATGTACTTGATGACAGTGCGGGATGTGTATGAAAGATAAGTGCAAGTATTTTGGAAATAAGTGAATTATTAATCTTGTGGTGAACTCATTTAGAGATAAAATGATTCAATGTCTAAATACGCTTCAGTATTATCTTTTTGGAGCACAATAGGTTCTTTTTAACTTGAACTCATAAATCAATGTACCCAATTTCATATCTGTACGTGGGCGAAGCTTATCGCAGACCTCCATTGGTGCGTTTTGCACGGCTGGAGAATCAAACTACCTGAAGAGTGGAGTTGATTCAGACCTCTACCAATCTAAAACTCTGCTTCTCGTATTTGTCTCTGTTGATGCCACATGTGAACAGTGTGCAGAATACAGATGAAGGATGAAGTCATATTTTTAGCCAACCTATCAGTTTATTATTTACCATATACAGACTTGAAAAATGGACAGACTGACCCATTGTTTGTAGTAAATGTAGACCACATAATGTATTGTCTCGGCTCATAAATCCAGAATCTGGTTCCCATTCCTTGATCCTGGAGCAGATGTGACGACGTTTGAAGCTTTTCTATGGACTTATTTCCGTAGGTTTTCAGTTTGCATTATATTACCACCTACTGTCTCTTCCATGCTTGTGCAGCCTGCTTGACGTAGCTGATCCGGCACAGCTAGTCATAATAATTGTACGAACTCTATGATGCTACTTGTACTCAGCTTGATATCAGTTTGAGTTTGGTCCTGTTCAGCTGGTTGGGACTAATAGAAGATGACAGACGAGCTCTGTAGTGGGCCATCTCGCACAGATGTCAGTGACGATTTCACTTAATTTCAGACCAGACAGAAGAGAATCTGACAGATTAAATGACTAAAATGAATTACCAGAGGATGCAGCTGGGTTTGGGTGACTTTAGCCAGCCCACATTGTTGTCGCCCTGTGATTTTAATATCCGCTCACAAATTCTAGGCAATTCACGATACTGTACATCACTGAGGTTTATGTTCAAAATGTCTGCACGATTCTCTGTTCTCGGAAGATTTTAATTTATTTACAAACCATTCAGGACACAGTTATGACCTACATATCACAAAATAGTTATATAACTGTTGCTAATTCTAACGAGGGAATTTTTTTGGGTGTGACTGTATTAAGCCACACACAGTGTCAATCCAATGTCTGTATTTAAACAAAATCCAATGGTAGTCAGCCTCAAGAAGAGTGATGGGCCAGCATCATAAAAAAACCCAACAACACCAACATGTAAGTTTATAATATAGACAAAAAAACCCAAACTTGATACTGCACTAACATAGTGCATAAATGGACTTTTGTCTGTTTTGACACAAATGATTTCACTTAATCTGTTTTCAATTTTTCGTTTTTCCTGTGACAATTCCCTAGCTGTTTTTAGCCCACTGTACATTTGTTCTGTAAAAATCAAACCACAAAAGCATACACACTACATGTAGAGGCACAGGGCTCGGTTTGAAACAGCACGGCTCTTGCAGCTGGAATGACCTTGGTTTGTCTCAGAAGGTCTCTGAGTTGCATAAGCTGGAGTTGTAGTCTCAACAGAAGAAAAGTCACATGTCTGCATCTCCATCATAGGCCAGTGCTAAAGCCCTTTGGGTCCTGCTGGAGTTCGGATCATCATTTGGGTTTTTGCTGGTAGAATACACACACATGCACACGTTGATCAAACAGGAAAGAGTATTTCATGCACTTCCAATTTATACCACTAGATGGTGGCACCTTACTAGGAAATGCCGTAAAATGATCCGTGACTATAACAGGGTCTGATTCAAGTTTAGGGGTTAATTGCCACATTAAGCTTTAAAGTCTGTATAATATACCTGCCAAAATGTATGGCAACATTTTTATTTAGCCCACTACTGCATGAATTTTTACATTTAAATAAAAAGAATTTTTTTAATGGATTTATGTTACTTGAATAAAAGCAGCTGGGGTGGGGTGGGGTAGGGGTAAATTATTGGTAAATTGTAGCAAACAACAGTGTGCAATAGTGGAAAGTATCATATAGTCAAAAACAACACAACATATATGAGATTACAAGTACAATCACTGCATTTTCCAGACTATAAGTTGCAGAGTTTTCTTTTTCTTCTTCTTCTTCTTTTTTTTGCCACATAGTAAGCATGTAAAAGTGATATCTTCTAGAAAGGAGTCACAGTTGTAAAAAGTATGTGCATGGATTTACTCACTCAAACTACATAGAAAAATGAGAACCAAACATGGTTTGGGTGAAGTATCTTTTTAATTCTTTCCCTTGAATTTCTTCTTGTGAAACATAAAATTTAGAACAAAAGGTGCAGTTGCAAAATGTCAACTGCAACGGTTTTTCTAACTATGAATGTGAAAAAATGTAAATGTGCTATAAGTAAGGCCTAGTGTCTTTACTATGTAGGCCTGTTTCAATTCATGAAACCACAGTTCCATTATTGTAATTGTTGCCATATGGCAACAAAATGCGATGATGGAACTGTGGTTTCGTGAATTGAAACATGAATTGAAACCCCTAAACAGTTTTACTATTTAACAATATACTCAAAATATATAAGCTTGTATAAATGACCAAAAAATAAATGTTAAATGTCTCAGATAGTGTTGAATTTTTTTTCCCTATAAGTAATTTTGCTTAAATATTGAACAATTAACCAAATTTTGAGAGCCATGCCATGTGATCTGACATTGCATTTTTTGTTATGTCAAAGTTAAAACCACCCTTTTTCCCCAGTTACATAGGAAAATATTGGTTTCCCCCCAACAGCCCATAGCGTGCCACCGAACACTTCCTGGTTGTCAGTGACATTAACTTTGTTTACAGTTACACATGTTTTGTTTTGGTTTTTGTCCTGTCTCCACCCATGGTATGCTATTGGTTCTTTCCTAACGTCTCAGCTGTTTTGTGTTATCCTTCTTTGATTAATTATTTAATCCCCTTGTGTGTCTTTGTTTTGGGCGAATTATTGAGTGTTTCTGTGTTTTCCGTCAGACCTGTACTAAGCCATTCATCCTCGCTTCTCGTTCCATGGTTTTTGATTCTGTTTTCCTCCGCATGTTTCTGATTCTTGTTTTTGTCTAGTATACCCTGTTCGCCAATCTCCAGACCTTTTGCTTGCTTTTGACCACGAGTTTGCCATACGATTTGGATTTGTCTACATACCTCTCTTTTAATAGAGCTCTCAACTGCACTTGCATCTGTCTGCACTCGTGTTACATAACAGTTGCCATTTTTTGTTGACAGATGTTATGACAAAACACTCATTTCTGGCAAAGGATTTTGTAGCTAACTACAAAATGCACAATTTTAATTGGAAATTGGTTAACTGGAAACTTAAGTTAAACACTCTAAAGGTTGTGAAAATTTCATCATTGACAATCATTACACGGTTGCAAAAAATTTTACATTCCGGCTTAGATTTTCATGAAAACCATTGGCAATTCACTAAAAAAAGTTATACTTTTTAAACTTGATTATTTACAACAAATGATTTATGATTATTATGAGTATGATTAGGGCAGTGGTAGCTTAGTGGTTAAGATGTTGATCTATTGATCAGAAGGTCAGGAGTTCAAGCTCCAGCACTGCCAAGCTGCCACTTTTGGGCCCTTGAGCAAGGCCCTTAACCCTCAACTGCTCACTTGTATAAATGCATAAGTATAAGTCACTCTGTATAAGGGCGTCTGCCAAATGCCGTAAGTGTAAAAAATTATTATGATTTTATGAAACCCTTTAACAATGCTATGCCTTCAAAAGTCATTTATTTATCATTCATCTTCAGTAACTGCATTATCTTGACCACACACACTCATTCACATCTAAGGTGAATTAAGAGTTGCCAATCCTCCTACTGGAATGTTTTAGGGTCAAAGTAGCACTTTTGTGTCTTTTTCAGTTGTCTTGTTTTTGTGGAGCAGTCACGTTTATTATTTAAAATAAAACAACAACAAAACATTACAGTCTGAAATCATTGGTAGCCCTACATACTGTTAATACAGCACTTACCACAGTAGAAAGGACATTGCGATGATGAGGAGGATCATGATGAATCCACCTGCCATTAGCCCGTACACCCACAGCCTGACTCGCCCATCTGGTAATTAACAAAGAGAAGATCACCCTTTACCTCATCTGATACTGAGCAAATCTATGCCTTGAATAGAGCAAACTGGTTTTCTAAGACAAGAACTCAGTGGTTTGCAGTCCCAATACTGTTTTTCCCTGCAATAGCATAAATTATTTAAATGGATATTACGCAGAACTTCCAGAACTCAGAATATTGTGTATAGAGCAGGGAAATCATAGAAATATGCAGTGCTGGACAATGAATGAGAACCATTGCTGTAGTATATGGAGATAAATGCAACTTTGTCCACCTGGGCCGAGAGGCTGCAGAGTCCAGGCTCTGCTCTCGTTCTGCTTGTGCATGCGCCTCAGACGTCCCCCGCTTCTCTTCACGTTCGCTTTCTTATAGTCTGACCCTGGGGTTCTCATACAGTAATCCAAGAAACCATTAGAAGTCATGACCTCTGTGAAGCCCTTCTCACAGCCACACATCCCACTCTGATAGAAAAAAAAGCAGAAATAATTTTGTGTTGCAGCTGTAATTTTGTTTTTAGATTTTTCTGTCAAGTGTCAAGTATTGTAAGGATAATGCTCAGATGTATCCAGTATTAATGTGACAATGAGAACTGAAAAAAGGTGTAAGTTATCACACCTGATGCTTTACAGATGTAAGATGATTAAAGTTTAGTGTGCTTAGCAATGAATACAAGTCATCTCTAACTACTGCGAGAACTCTGCTTTCACAATCAGACTAAGTCCTAATATCTTCATAGTTTATTATTATTATTTTTTAAAACTTTGCTTTTATAGCAATATACTGATGTGTAATGCTAAAACATTATACATGCCTGCGTGTTCAGTGAAAAATGAATCAATATATGTATTTATCTTTATATATCAGCAGGACTATGCAAACAATGATGTGGGCCATTGATTCCAAAATGTGTTGGATTATAATTGGTTAAGTGATATATCTGTCACAGTGTCACAGTATTGGTTACCTGTGTACAGAATGAGAAGGGCTTGGTACATGGTGGATTGCACTGATGCACAGTGGAGGGTTTAGTCTGAAGAAAACACCCCCCTAACAAGAAAATTATACGTTATCATAATCATTCACTCATTCATCTTCAGCAATCAGAGCCGCAGTATGTGTTTGTCTGTTTTTTATAGTAATATGTAAAAGATTAAAACTAGAGATGCACCGATGTACGATAAAGGCAATTTTTCACCCTTTAAAAACATCCGATGATCAGTGTCAATTATATCCTGTCAATCAAAAGAGTGTGTGAAAACTGCAGTTTGTAATCGCTGTAATCTCTGCAGTGATTAAATTTTACACCCGACAATGCAGCAGTGAAGCGGGAGTTTCAGTGTCGAGTCTAAATTTATTTTTGCCAAGCAGCTCGAACTGAATTATAGCTCCAGTACATAGCTGAAAGATTTAAATGAAGAAGAGTTGACAAAAAAGTATATATTGTACAGAAAAATATTTGTAGAGTAGTATATTTCATATCCATTCTATCCAGTATATTTCATATCTTAATGTTAATATTAAAAAACGTTGATATTATATATGACCAGTTTGATGTTAATGATGAAGTAGAAATGCATTTGTTTGTGGTGAGTGAATGTCATGGTCTCCCTTTTTGGCAGCGTACTCGGAGAGCTGAAGGGCATGCGCGTGCACAAGCTAGGTGCGCGAGTGCCCAGCGCTTCAAATGTGGACAACCGTGACATTGTTTACTATGGACACATGTGTTTGTTTTGATTCTGTTCTGTCTCCTCCCTGTCCTGTTATTGGTTGTTGTTCGGGGGGGGGGTGGCTTCATTGTTTTCAGGTGCCAGTGCTTAGCGCTGATTATGTTCGGGATATATACCGCTCACGTCCCTGTACACCTCGCGGAGTATTATAGGTAATATAGTTAGATAGATTTAGTTAGTTTAACATTAGATTAGTTCACCTAGACCACACTGGTGTTGTCCGCTCCAAGAGCAGCTGGCGTAAACACAGACGGCTACACAAGAAAGCACCTGCAAAACTCCAGCCCGAGGTCAACATGGCGACCTCAAAGCTTCAACTTGAGACCCACGAGGAGGTCTCACCAGCAGAGCTCCTGCTAGAGGTCAACGTGGTGACCTCACAACCAGAGCTCGAACCTGAGACCCATGAGGTGGTCTCACCCGCTGAGCTCCAGCCAGAGGTCAATGTGGTGACCTCAGAGCTCCAGCTTGAGACCCACGAGGCAGTCTTGCATGCTGAGCTCCAGTCAGAGGTCAACGTGGCAACCTCAGAGCTCAAGCTTGAGACCCTCGAGGAGGTCTCGCATGCTGAGCTCCAGCCAGAGGTCAATGTGGAGACCTCAGAGCTCCAGCTTGAGACCCAGGAGGTGGTCTCACCCGCTGAGCTCCAGCCAGAGGTTAACATGGCAACCTCAGCCCCAGAGTTTCAGCCGGAGACCCATGAGGGGGTCTCATCACCAGAACTCCAATATAAGGTCAAGTTCCTGCTAGAGGTCAATGAGGTGACCCCCAAAGTCATGTTCATGTCCCAGGTCAAAGAGACGACCAACCCAAGCTCTGCTCATGCCAAGTTCCTGTCCCAGGTCGATGCCGAAGTCATTACCAACCACGTTCTGCTTACGCCCGAGTCTGCTGACACAGCAAACCAAGCTCAGCCTGCAGAGTCTGCTGAGGATGTTGCTCTGCTTACCTGTTTTGCTGAGGATGTTGCTTGGTTTTCCGCTGAGGACGATACCCAGCTTTCCTGTTCCGCTGAGGACGCACACAGTCTCCTGGTGCAGATGGGGACATTTTGCCCAGGGGGCCAGGACTGCCAGGACCACCAGTGTTTTGTGGCGCTCTGGGAGGAGCGTGCTTTGAATGTGGACAACCGTGACATTGTTTACTATGGACACGTGAGTTTGTTTTGTTTCTGTTCTGTCTCCTACCTGTACTGTTATTGGTTGTTGTTTTGGGGGGGTGTCTTTATTGTATTTAGCTGCCAGCGCTTAGCGCTGATTATGTTCGGGATATATACCGCTCGTGTCCTGTACACCTCGCGGAGTATTATAGGTAATATAGTTAGATAGATTTAGTTAGTTTAACGTTAGATTAGCTTACCTAGACCACACTGGTGTTTTCTGCGCTCCCAATTTATAGTTTTCTGTGACCACAACTTTGATTCCTGCTTTGCCCCGTTTATGCCTGTTTGCCTGACCCACTGCCTGTTTTTGACGATGCATCTGTTTCACGTTTTTTGGATTTATCTGCCTCCCTCCTTTAATAAAAGCTCTTAACTGCAATTGTTTCCATATCCTACTCCCTTACGTCTCACGAAGTGACAGTAAATGTGAGACTAACAAGAGGTTTTTTTAGAATTCAGTCAATGTTAATATGAATTAATAACATTCAAAAGGTTAATAATCTTACTTTAATCTTCAGAATTTGTTAATGTTAATTACAGTAATGTGTTGAAATGGACAGAATAAAGTTTTAAATAAAGGCTGATTGGCATGTCTAAATTGTCCGTAGTGTCTGAATGGGTGTGTGAGTGTGTATGTGATTGTGCCCTGCGATGGACTGGCACCCTGTCCAGGGTGTACCCCGCCTTGTGCCTGATGCTCCATGGGATAGGCTCCAGGTTCCCCGCGACCCTGAAGAAGGAATAAGCGGTAGAAGATGGATGGATGGATGGATGTATCGGCTGAGAAATTTAGTATCGGTGCATCTCTAGTTTAAACATTTACAAGCCTTCCCCCACTGAACCCACCACACCCTCTGCAGGAACTACATACAGCGCATTACATAACTAATCAGCTCTTTAGTCATTAAGAAGCAAGAGGCCAATATGATGCTACCATGATCATGCTTCATTGTGAGGATGGCGTTCTCTGTGTTTTGAGTGCTTTGAAACTGTATGACTCATAGTTCTGGAAACACATTTTATAATGACACTCTGAACATTTTAAACACTTTAAGGCTGTCTAACAGTAGGATTACACTGGAGAACGTTTCACTATATACAATACTATAATAGTTCCTACTGCAATGCCTGCTTAAGAAGCATAAGCTCACATGTACCGTCTACAGGGAAAACTACTCTGACTGACGCAATATGATACTTAAATAATGTACAAATAGCATTACTACCAGTGACATTAACCCCGTCAGAGCGCTGACACCACACTGCTCTCTGATTATCTTTCCATTCTCCTGTGACCCACTCATAACCAAGACAGGTTCCTCCTACACATGGACACACACACATACACACAAATGTTAATAAGTATGCAATACTTATTTCATTTCATGGATATCCAGCATTGACTTGCAGCTTGCATAATGCCATCATGGAAATGCGTGAGAAAGCTCACGACATCTGACGCCATTAACCACTCACGTTGGCATGGTCGTGTTTCATAGACTTGACTTGGACAAGAGGCCTTGTTCTCCGGGACCTGGATGATCACTGCTCTGGATCGAGCCTGGTGCCCCAACATCTCAAAGCTCCGGCCGTCCAGA